TAAAAATGTATTTGTTGGCAAGGTAGTTTACACTTAGGTGGATCCTAAAAAGAACCAATGAAATTGATGGTTAAGTAGGGAACGTAAATACTTATAATGGCCCTAAAAAGCGCCAGTGGTGAAACTTCCAGGCTATTCTTTATTATTATTCCTGATGATGAAGAGCTGGCTACGGGTTGCTTGATTCTTACCCTGGGAGTCTCGATGTACGGAGACTGTGATGGAAGGAGGTACGCCGCTGACCAAAGAATATCTCGTCTCAAGTCGAGGTATAATTTTTTTTTTTCGATCGCACTCGTCGAGATTTAGGGTGAATGGACACCCAGGTCCTTTCCCTCTTGGATAAGAGTGTCGTGCGTAACCGGGATACCCAGCTGCAAGACTATCATCAGCATTCTTTATACAGCTCGTTGTACTGCCTAAGCTCGACTACATCATTGTCGAGACGGACCGGCCTATTATAACCACACTTATTTAATTATGTTGCAGGTAGCTTCGATTTTATGTCGACGCCACCAAGCGGATTTTGTTGAACTAAAGTGAAAAGCTGGCGTATTTTTGCAAAACTTTGAGCTCATTTATTGCTATTGTTATTAAATTTTTCAAGATAAGAACTATACTTAAACCATCTCGGAAGTATCATGAATCAGTGTGTAAAATTTCAGCAAAATCGGTTCAGTAGTTTTCGCGGTTAGTGATTACAACGGTTTTAGCGTTCTCTCTTTATATATTAGTAAGAAAACTAAGAAATAATTTGGTTTCGTAAGTTTGTGTAATTAATAAAATTAATTTGTGAAGGAATTAGAGAGCTACATTCTCGCTTCAAACCCATACTACTCAACTTTAATTAAACACTCATTTTCATTTTTATTTTTATTTTTTAATGAATGTTAAAGTACGGCTGAAAAAAATTGGTTTCTAAAATATATAACTTTTATCTCTATCATATCACTTCCAAGATCTAATTATTTTTACTATTACTTGCTCTAATAATTTATTTATTGTTTTCTATGAACAAACCAATGCATAGATAAAGAAATATATTTTATATGTTTGTTTTAAAATCCCACATATTTTTATTACAATCCAAGATTCTTAGTACTAAAATTGTTTTCAATACATCTTTTTCTTTAGAATTTAGTTTGTCTCAGGTGAAATTATATTTTACAGGTAAAAACAAATAGAAAAAGCTTGTGTACACTGAGAGGGTTCAAATTCATTAAGTGGAAATTTACAGATTTAATTCTTATTCACTAGATTCATAACATAATTAATGATGAACCTCTTCAATGAAAAGATATTTTATTTCTCGCTCATCAAAAAAGTGCCTGGCTAGTGATTTCCGACTATTGCTCCCCTTGTGTGAGCTAATGCCCTTGTGCAATTGGCCGTCGGAAGGGTGTTTTATACTGTCCAATGACTACAGAATATTAAAATGTTCCTTAAGAATTTTTTGTAGCAGTTTTTTTATCATTTTGTTAATTTAATTTGAAAGATTTAAGCTTGTGACTGTCAATGATACTCGGTTTAATTATTTCGTAACAATGTATTTTTTGAAACTATCGCTTGTGATAAAAAATTTTATAACGTGAAAATCATAACTAATGCTATGTAGACTGACTAATCACCGGCTTATACCGTTTTTCGTCATATTAAATAACTGACACATCAGGTACATGTAGGTATGCGTGAACGACCAAAGCGAGCACTCTCGTAGTATTCAAGTTCCCTACTTAACTATTAATCTCATCGGTTCTTTTAAGGGCCACCTAAGTTTAAACTACCTTGCCAACAAATACATTTTTACTACCATTTCCGGAAGCGATTCGCCGACTAAAAGACTATGTTAACTAAAGAGGGCTACTATTAAACCAAGTCAGCCATTCACTGGCAGACGTCACCTGCGGAGTTGTTCTTCGCAAGGCTGGGAAACCTGGTGACCGACGACCCTATTTTACCCACTCGACTCTAAGCATTTAACCAGGAATCACCGATCCTCTCCAAGGCGTGCACTGGGTGAACCGAACAGCTATAAAGGAAAAATAAATTTGAGCCAACGGGAGTTTCCAACGGGCAAGCATCACGAACTAATCTCTCCACTTCAGATCACCAAAACAACTGAGTCTGCAAAAAAAGAAGGTGCTTTAGACACCAATGTCTTCGACGTTATACCAGAAGACGTTGGGAAAGAGCTCTACAACTATCTCCAAAGCTTCAAACGTTGTAGTTTTCCTTCTGATCAGCGTAGTGCTACAATAACAGATCAGAGTAGATCACCCGGAGGTAAAGAGGCAATCATGTTTGCTGGAAACTTCAGTCAAGAAAGAGTTCACTTAAGAAGCTCACTGGTTCTTTTCATGGTTATCAGACGTCAAACTTCCTTGCTAACTAATATATGACAACCTAATAAAATTGAAAAAAAAAACGCCTTTAGGGCTCACAGAAGTCTTAACTATGCCAGAAGTCACAAGAAGTCAAATTGGAAAAAAACTTTAAAGGCATCCAAATAATACAATTTTAGAGATTAAAGCAGCATCAAAATCGAATTTATTAAGTAAGAGATCAGTTTTTCACTATAACCTTTATGGTAATGTCTTGAATCTACCAGATCGTTAAGTATCTAGAATATGTATTTGTATTTTTGTTGTGATAAAAACGTAGGCTCAAAGACTTTGTTGCTGTGGTTATAAAGTTGTGAGATAAGAGAACAAAATTTCTTATATATATAGATTTATATATACATTTGTGAGTTCCAAATCTTTACAGCTTAAAAAAATAGCCCTATTCATAAATTATACGGGAGAAACTGCAAATTAGCGGCATTTTAGGGCCATTAATTATTTTATGGCATAAGAAATGCTAGGTATTTTTCAGAAAATTATATTTTTTTCACTTTTTTCAGCTTTTTACTTGACCAAATTAACTGTATGGATTGCGAACAAATATGTTTTTAATAAGAAGATTATTTTTCTGAGAAGTGTCAGCAATAGATATAAAATTTTTAACTGAAAACGTTTCACATTACATATCAACACCCTACGGTGCTCCATTTAGTGAGTCTCGGACGAAGCCGAGACGGGGGGGCTGCTACTATATAATATGGATTTGAGCTCTGGCCGTACATACTATCGTTGTAGTCGGGTAAAGTTAGAAAATCCAGTACGTGAAATTGCGAACTTCACTTTTAAAATTTTTTTTGTTAGATAATAATAATATAAATACCATATGAAATTTGAACGCCAACGCCAATAGGGCAATATGGTTAAAAATATGGTAAAAATCAGTAAAGTCACTTTTTTGCGATTTAAGGAAAAACTATGTATTTGACAGATAAAGCATAATGAAAAAAAAATGCCTAATAAAAATATGAATCTAATGAGTTTTTTGAGGTCTGTTCAGTCCAGTAGTTCTTTAGTAAGTGGCAAAAAACCACTTTTTGCGCCATTTTTGAAAATTACATAACTTTTGTTCTTTTGCATATAAAAACTTGAAACTTTGACAGAATATGTATGTTGTAGGCCTCAATACCCATATACAATTTTAGCAAAATCGATATACTTTTTGAGAAACTTTTATAAAACTGGAAAAAGGTCCTGTTACGTCCGAACTTCAAAGTGAAGGGCGGAACTTGTAGATACGGTCTACAAACAAATAAGTTAAATTTTTATTCGTCAGGAACCAGCGGTCGTCCCAAAGGCCTTTTTTTCTCTTATTTACAGTATGCTTTTCTTTTAAATCGTTGACTCGGCGTTGTGGTGTTAGTTTTCAACGAATGGTATGTGTAGAGAGGTGTTGGTATATCATACGCCGAGCTGGCGTTGACCTAGTGTTTAAATTTATCTGATGTAATATGCTCGTAGCGTATTTTATTCGTCTCTTTATCTTATGTCCTTATAAGGTCTTTGTTTAAATTATTATTTATTAGGACGTCGAGTAAATACAAGATCGGCAGATCAGCCGTAACAGATATTTTAGAGTAGGCAGATCGACGTGGAGGTCCGGTTCGAGAGTCCCCAGCGAAGCAGGAGGTCAAGGCGTGCACACACGTTGGCTCCTCTCTAAAAATCAGTTCGCTCGCGCCGGCAGATACCAAGCGAGCAGCAGCTCCCTCTTCTTTGAGCAGAAAGAGGGGGAGGGGAGGGCATGGACGCGTAAGACAAATTTTGCACAACCCGCCCGCCTCGTTCCGTGAACGATCTCAGTCTCCGCCCGTCGTACCTGGGTCAGATTCGGCCACAGGGTCTTTAGAGGCGGTGTCGCCGGCACTAGGCGATCGGACGGGCAGTAGAGAGAGCTTGCTGATGGGACGGGTGTATTCACCAGTGGCGGTCTTGATGGTGGCGGCGCGAATGAGTCCGTCGGGTCCGGGATGAACCCAGATGATGCGACCGAGCGGCCACGTGCCGCTAGATTGGAGGAGCGTGGCGTCCACCACGGCGACGACGTCATCAACTCGCGGCTACAGCGGCTCCAGAACTGGTCTCGGATTCCCGGACCAGCTTCCAGTGACTTAGGCGATCGAGCTTCTCGGGCGGGGTACTGGCCTCAAGCACAGAATTCAGCGGGCCACCGACGAGGAAGTGTCCAGGGGTGAGGATGTCCAGATCATCTAAGCCTCCGGTGAATGGAGTGAGAAGGCGGCTATTGAGGACCGCCTGGATGCTGGCCAAAACGGTGGAAAACTCCTCGTAGGTGAGGTTGCGCGGTCCAAGGGTACGACGAAGATGATGTTTCATTGCTTTGACACCGGCCTCCCATAGTCCGCCGAAGTGGGGCGCCCGTGCAGGAATGAAGTGCCACGTGACGCCTTGTTCAGCCAGTGAGCCAGCAACACGTTCCCACTTTATCTCGGCATCCTGGAGAGCCTCGCGCATTTCACGGTCTGCGGCGCGGAAGCAGGTGGCGTTATCACTCCAGATCTCTAAGGGCCTACCGCGCCTGGCGTAGAATCTTGTGAGCGCTCCAATGAATGACTCGGTGGAGAGATCACCAACGGGCTCAAGGTGTGACGCCTTGGTGGTCATGCAGACGAAGATCGCGACGTAGCCCTTGCTTGTGCGGATGCCTCGGCCCTTAGCAGACAAAATGTTGAATGGGCCAGCGTAGTCAACTCCAGTGCGAGAGAAAGCTCGAGCAGGAGTAACCCGTGCGGCCGGTAGAGGTGCCATGTGTTGAGTGGCAGGCCGCGCCTGCAGTCGGGCGCAGACCACGTATCCCTGGAGAATGCTTTTGATTCGCCGCCGCCCGCCAACAATCCAGGCCTTGCGAGCCACATAGGCGCTGGTGACTCTGACTCCTCCGTGAAGAGCACGATCATGAGCCCACTGGATAATGAGCCGAGCGAGGCTGCATCGGCTGTCAAGGATTGGCGGATGCTGCTCATCGAAGGTGAGCGCAGAATTTGGAGACGACCGCCAACTCGAAGGACGTCATCGGAGAAGATCGAGTCTAGAGACAGCAGTGGATTTTTCGTAGGGACACGGCCGCTATTTTGCAAGCTCGCAATCTCTAGCGCGAAGAATTGTCGCTGGCTGAGGCGGACGCAGGCGAGGTAGGCATCGCGCCGCTCAATCGTCGTCAGAGGGGCGAAAGGCGAGGGAGCGGGATCTCGACGTAGCCGACGACGGATCCAGCGACGCAGTCAAGCGAGGAAGCGTAGGAGACGGCCAAGGTCTGAGAACTTCTCATGCAGATTTGGCGTAGTGCATTGAACAGTACAACAAGATTGGAGGGCGCCGTCGGTGACTGGGTTGCAGGAGCTAGGCAACTTTGCGTTTTCGGCTGGCTACAAGTCAAGAGGGCCCGCGAGCCAAGAAGGGCCTTCCCACCAAGCACGCATTTGCTGAAGCGTGAATAGATCCGTGCCCCGGAACGCCACATCCGCTGGATTAGAGTCCGTCGGAACATATCTCCATACGTGGGAGGGCAGAAGCTCCTGGATGTGAGCCACGTAACTGTCGATCAATCAGTTGTTTGTCGGCTCCGATGATCGGAGCCAGTGAAGCACGATCTGGGAGTCGCTCCAGGCGTGACAGTGCTCAACGCTCACAGCATATTCCTCGGCAACCATGCGTAGCAGCCTCGCTGCGAGCAGTGCCGCTTGTAGCTCCAATCGAGGGATCGTCATACGTGTTGGACTAGTGGCGTCTGGCTGCAAGCTTTTGATGGGGGTCAATTTGGTCCTGGACATCAAAATACTCACGCAGACACCATCGGCTGGGTTCTCAGCGCGCGAGTACACGACAGCAGCCATCGCGCGCTGGCTCGCGTCTGCAAATGCGTGGAGTTGCAAACTAGTGGCGGGACTGCAGCTGATCCAGCGAGGAATGGCAATGCTGGGGACATTCTGCAGTTGAGTCAGAAATCTGCTCCAGCGTTGGGCCATGGCCGCAGGCACGGGCTCATCCCATTCGAGTCGCGCTCGCCAGAGATCCTGGATGATCATTTTGGTAGTTAAGACAGCGGTCGCGATCCAGCCACAGGGATCGAAGAGTCGTGCTAGAGCGGCAAGCATCGCGCGCTTGGTCGGCCGTGGCTGTAGGGTAGGTGGCGTGAGGTGGAAGCAATCGTCAATCGGGTCCCAGCTGACGCCGAGTTCGCTGACAAAACCGTCTGCGCTGAGCTGTCGCCAGGTTGGTCTTAGTCGGGCATCTGGAGAGAGATCACGCAACAGCTCCGGATCGTTGGCCACCCACTTCCTCAGAGGGAAGCCCCCAGCTTGCAACAAGCCGATCAGCTGGTCGCGGCGAAGTCGAGCCGTCTCAACGTCGTCAGCGCCAAAGAGAATATCATCGACGCATCGATCTTGTTTGACGATAGGCACGGCCTCGGGCCAAGCATGGCCTTCATCCTCCCATAGCTGGGAAATCGTCCGTAGAGAGAGATAGGGAGCACTAGCTTTACCGTAGGTCACAGTGAGCAACTGATAGTGCTTCGGCGGGCTAGAGTTACCAGTGCTCCACAGGATACGCTGGAGGTCCACGTCACGCTTGTCGATCCAGATCTGCCGAAATATCATCTGGATGTCCGCGCAGAAAGCAATCCTATGCCTTCTCCAGCGGAGCAAGACAGTCGGCAAGCAGGCTTGGAGCTTTGGTCCAGCGTGCAGGATATCGTTGAGGCTATAGCCAGTGGATGTTGGTCGCGATGCGTTGAATACGACGCGCAGTTTCTTCCGGTGGTCGCCAGCTTGCCAGATGCCATGGTGCGGGATATAATGCACGAGGCCCGACGACTCGCGCAGCTCCACGTCGGTCAGTAACCGCATGTGCCCGCACCTAAGATACTCGTCCATAAAGCGTGCATATTCGATGGCCATCTCCGGGGCACCCCGCAATCTGCGCTGTAGCGAACGAAGGGATGCTGTAGATCCGGTTAAGCTCTCTCGTAGTCGCTCAATTCCGTCGCGCTTGAGCGGGAGGCGGACGGCATAGCGCCCGTCGGCAGCCCGATGATGATTGGCAAAGATGACCTCGCACTCGATGTCATCAGGAGATTGACGAATTACCCGTGGCACGTCCTCCAATTCCCAAAACCGTTGCATCAGTGCGATTAGCTGCTCTTGCCAAGGTGGAGCTGAGGTGTCCTGTGCCGTCATGCAAGCAGCTGGCGAGGACGAGGTCGCTGGGCCCGGTGCGTGACTGGCGAGCATCCAGCCGGCAACGGTGAGCTGTCCGACGAGATCTCCACGGAATAACTGCCCTGGCCATAGTAGATGGGGGTACACGTCGGCTCCAAGTAGGATATCGACGCCGCCCGATATTCCAAAGGTCGGGTCTGAAAGATCTGGTAAATTGTTCCAGAGTTCGATGACGACTGGTTGTAACGGTCCGGAGGGGGTGCGGAGTCCCATTTGGGGCAAGCAGTGCGCAGTCAGCCGCAACGTCCGGGTTGAGTTCCGGGTTTGGAGCTGCAAACTTGCAATCGTTGGGGAGCGCATAAAGACAGCGCCTCCGACGCCAGAGATGCTCGTGGCGGCTGGCTCGGGACTGGCGCCAAGCTTTCGAGCAAGTGCAGTGGACGTGATTTAAATCTCCGAACAAGCGTCGACGAGTGCTCTTGCTGTGACTGTCCGCCCTCTGGGGCCCATGAGCTGAACCTTGAGCGTGGGCAAGACGGCTAGTCACAACGGTAAAGCAGCTGCCGCGTCGATCCCGTCCTTGGAGTCCGAGGTGAAGAGACACTGCTTTGCCTCAGCTGGTGCTGGGTCGGGCGCGGCCCTGCGCTTGCGACCGCCATCATGGATGAGGCTGTGATGCCGCGCCTTGCAATATTGGCATACGCCTTGGGAAGGGCAGACAGTTGCCATGTGGCCCGGCTTCAGGCAGTTAAAGCACAGCTTGTGCTGAGCGACGAAACCCCTTCACCCAAGCGCTTCCAGTTCCAGGAAACGGCTGCAGTGACCTACGTACTGCGGCGCGTGGCAGGTAGGGCAGTCGTCGTTGACTGCGTGGGTGGCTAAAGATCGGTGGTTGTGGCTGAGTGGCGTCGGCGCGGGAGGGCGACTGCCGGTCGAGCGTACAGGATCGTTCGTCGATCGGGGAGGGCGCGATTCTTCCATTAAAGTCAGTGAGCGGCCACGCCTCCACAGAAAGCTGGACAAAGTGGCGAAGGAGGCCGCTTCCCCTTGTGCAGAGCTGGCTGCCTCCAACTTCTCGAGCTTGTCTTCCCAGGCTCTCCGAGTCGAGGGGTCCATGGCGGTCGAGGCAAAAGAGACCATCCACACATCCCAATGTTCCACCGGCTGATTAAGCGCTCGCAGTTGATCACGGTGCTTTTCTAAGGCATCGAGCAAGCTCTGCAGACCAGCAGCGGACTCCTTGCGCAGAGGCTTGAGCGTTCGGAGTGCCATGACGTGGTCCTGCACAAGGAGGCGGCGATGCTCGAACCGCGAGACAAGAAGATTCCAGGCCGTGGAATAATTGGAACCAACGAGCTGCAAGATGTCCAGAACTGCTTTTGCCTCACCGTGCACGTTTGCCTTTAGGTAGTAAAGCCTCTCGACGTCGGTGAGCCAAGCATCCTGGTGAATGAGCGCCTGGAACAGGTCGCGGAAAGACTGCCAATCCTCGCGACGGCCAGAGAAGAGCGGGATATTGATGCTCGCCAGGCGAGGGCCCGAGTGCGGTCCAGGGAGTGGGAACTGGCCACCACCTCCTGGCATGGTCGGGAACAGCCGACTCCTAGCGTCATACATGGCTTGGAAGTCATTCCAATAATCAGCGAGTAGCTCGAACCTGGCGTCGACGAGACCCATGCTCCATACTTCGACGCTCTTGGCGGATTGAGTGGATTCCGCGAGAACCTCTAGCAGGGCTTGCTGCGTTTCCAGCAACGAGGGCCAGCCTTCGTTATCCCTGTAAATTAGTCACGCGCTGAGCTCGACGCTTGTCTCTCAAACGACGCCTTGTTACTTGTGGTGCAATCGTGCGTGCCAAATTAGTCTACGTAGAATATTAAGAAAAAGGGCGTGAGGAATCGCAAATGAATCTGTCGACCCGACCAGCCGCGGGATGACGTGAACTAGTAAATCCCGCGGTTTAAACATGAAGCAGCCTGCAATCTGCAACCCAAAACCTCTCAACAGCCTCACTGACTGAGTAATCGCGGTCGCACGCGAGGTCCACGACGCGGACTGCACGGCAGTCGCGGTGGAGCGTCTCTTGCCTGTCACATCTTGTTAAGGCTATCATAACCTCAAATCGCTCTACCACGTGGCGCGGCTCTGCACGATTGCATCACTTGCAACAGAGGCCCAATGTCTCGATACATTCTCGGACGTAGAGAATGTATTTTCGCATGATCGCATCTCACATCGTCCTACTTACATTACTTCGCGTAGCACCGTGGTCCTGGCTGTCCTGGGCTCGATGAGGTTCTGGCGGTTGTCTGTCCCAGTCACGCTATCCGGCTCGAAGGACCAATGTTTAAATTATTCTTTATTAGGACGTCGAGTAAATACAAGATCGGCAGATCAGCCGTAACAGATATTTTAGAGTAGGCAGATCGACGTGGAGGTCCGGTTCGAGAGTCCCCAGCGAAGCAGGAGGTCGAGGCGTGCACACACGTTGGCTCCACTCGATAAAACAGTACGCTCTCGCCGGCATAGACCAAGCGAGCAGCAGCTTCCTCTTCTTTGAGCAGAAAGAGGGGGAAGGGAGGGCATGGGTGCGCAAGACAAATCTTGCACATTTATCTATCTAAAAATGTATAATATTCTTGGCAANCTCTTTATCTTACGTCCTTGTAAGGTCTTTGTCATCCGTTATGTATTTAATTTTTCCTTGTTATATAATTTATTTATCAAAGTAAAATTTATACTTCCATCAATTAAAATTTTTAATTCTTAGAATATTTTACATAATTTAGTAATGGGAATATTTTAATTAAGAAAAGAAATATAATCAACAACCAAGTTATGTCCTATCTGATGATTTAATAATTCAGTGATGCCGAAAATAATTAATTTTACAAATAATATAAATTATGAAGGCTCAGATTCGCGTTTACAATATTTTAACAAGTTTTTATTTTTCTTAACTTAACTTACTTCTATGGTCGTTGGTTAACCGCTGCTTGCGCGCACGTAGTCGCAAGATCTTACAAAGTTGACAGCAACGATGATCTTAATCCTATACGAGAATACTCGTGGCGATGGAAATAATTAGGCTGCTGCTTTTAACGTCGGGACCCAAGTCGACGGTCCTTTCTTTCTTGTTCCTCCTTGATTCACTTTTTAGGCGAGTTTACAGTGGTCTGGTTTGCTCGAGCTTTTCTCACACAGATTAGTCACTGAACTAAGTTTTACATTTGCTTGAAATGCAAGTTTCTAACAGGTAGCTTAATCACCAAACAAAGTCTTACATGCATTTAAAAGACGCAACAGAACTTACCCTCAAACCTTTATAGTTACTTTGGAGCACTTGATGAAAGAGAAAAGGCAATTATTGGTATGTGCAAGAAGTTTTTATACTCTTGCATTTAAAGAGGACACGTCAAGTTGGGGATCCGAACGACCAATCAGAGCTTAACGCAATTACTCTCAATTAACACAAACATAAACGTAGTGCAACAACTATACCGCGAACAATGGTAAAAAACGCTGATCTCTCGGTTGTTGCATTTGGTACAGTTGATGTTGAAACTGTTCACGATATTCGCTGTGGATCAGTGTCAGTAATAAATGTTGAAACTGCTGATTGTTTTCATTCTTGCGGGCATTTGGTGCAAATTGATTTTGTAAGATGAGCGCTATTTAAGATTATTTGGAAATTGCACGCGTAGTTAGAGTTTTGCGACGCAGCTGTTTTCAAAGGAAGTAAGTTATATGTCACGAGATTGTAGAAGCAGCTATACAGCTCAATGTTTAATAATCGCTGAGCATTTGCTATTTATAAGTTTTTAATGGAGCTGTGTATTTCGAAATAATGAATATTAAGTATATGATATGGGATGTCACAGTTCTTCCGGAAAATGTCCATAAAAAAGATTTAGGCCAACGTAGACCAATTCTTCAAAAAGCGTTTTGGTTAATCGAGAATTGCTCTACAACATTTTACAATGCCGTACCATTGTACATAGCCAAAGTGTGAAAAAATTCATTTAAAAAATGGAAACTTTCACGGTCAGGTAGTGGGAGCCACAGAGCTCAAAATGTGGCTATACGAAAAATTCCACGAAATTTTGACTTAAANTCACTTCTATATTACTGTTAGAAGCACTTTACGACCATCTTTTTGTCATTAAGTTGTAAAATAGACAGTTTTTAAAATCTATTAATGGCGAGAAAGTGCAAGAAAAAATATTTTATACCGAAAAACTTTCAACCAACGTAAAAAAAAAACTATCATGTCAATTTGAATGTAACCATAAGTAAATATAGGTATTGAACTGCAAATAAAGAGCTATTTGTAAAATTTCAAATTGATTATTCGTTGTGTGTTAATTCATTTTATAAAGTGAAACTTTAAAGTATGATTGAAACTTTACCGTCGGTTAATCGACATTTCGCTTCGGTAAAAACATTGTTTTTAATATTAAAAACAATGTTTTTACCGAAGCGAAATATGATATAATAATGTATTGACTTACGACTAAGCATATTTTTTACATGCATACAAATAAAAACAGTAGAAAGACACTATTTTTTGAAATTCAGCATTTTAGGAACTTCGAAATAAATTAGAAACAAAGAGTAATTAATTAATTAGCATAAGTTAATTTATTATTATACACGTAGTACAACGCACTATGCATGCAGTAATTGATGAGAGCCTCCTTTCCTAGCTTCTCATATTTTACACAATCTGACGTTATCTTGTGTTTAAGTGTGGATAGTATACTACAACGTTCTGCTTTATTAATTATACCTTTTAAAAATTTAATCACCCGCCTTTCTAATATCCCATATAAAGATAATAAGGTAGGAGACTAAGGAAAGTTTTGGTGCTTGTCAGTAATCAATATCACGAGTACATCAAATGGTCCAAGGAAAGGTTATAGGATCCCGTACATACAAACCTAAAAATAGCCTTTTTTAGGCATCATGATCGTACCATCCTAAGAGATTAATTTGATTAAAAAATAATTAAATATATAAATTTTATTCTACAGCATACAAGAGAACGGATGTCTCAAATCATATTGATATTAACATAACATGCTCATGCAGAAAGACTTATAATGGAATGACTTAATAATTGTCTTGTTACGCGGTACGATTGTTAAGTCAACAGTATAAAATGATAATAATGAAATAATAGTGATAATTAGATATTTTGCATTTTCAATTATAATTTAAGAATAAAATACATAAGTACTGGCGTAATGCGTAAGCGAAAGGTTCAAACACAATGCTTCACCAAGCACGTCGCTGTAGGCCAGTAGCAAAATGAGATTAGTCTAGAAGTCCGAGAAGCAAGGTACATTTGACCTGCCATGCAGACGATCCAGATCTGCATCTATAGCGTTGCTGCTTCCTGCTCGTACAGCAGACCTCGATTAATTAACGTATGATGTCTTTTTTTCAGTTCCTTGGCCTTCGCAATACGCATTATCGCTATTTTTTATACACACATACTTTTCGACAGCAGCTTTAATCACTAATAGTAAATTTACATTTAATTAAAAATATTTTTTATAGCGGTTTGTAGACAGAAAAAAATAGAAAACACAAAATTTTTTTTTCTATAGGAGATACCGGTGGTCACAAAGTAGTCCACTGCCCAGAGACAAAAAAACAAATATTTAATCTTGTGTTTTCCCGTTGAAAAAATTGATCATAACACTACAGAATTTCCCCAGAAATATGGAAAAAATAGTTTTGTCCGAATCATAAGTCAGCATCATTTAGTTATTTAACAATTTATAAACAAATACCAATTTTTATTTATTTTTTTGCTTGTATCTTCACTTCTATATTACTGTTAGAGGCACTTTACGACCATCTTTTTGTCATTTAGTTTTGAAATGGACAGTTTTTAAAATCTATTAATGGCGAGAAAGTGCAAGAAAAAATATTTTATACCGAAAAACTTTCAACCAACGTAAAAAAAAAACTATCATGTCAATTTGAATGTAACCATAAGTAAATATAGGTATTGAACTGCAAATAAAGAGCTATTTGTAAAATTTCAAATTGATTATTCGTTGTGTGTTAATTCATTTTATGAAGTGAAACTTTAAAGTATGATTGAAACTTTACCGTCGGTTAATCGACATTTCGCTTCGGTAAAAACATTGTTTTTAATATTAAAAATAGTAACGAACAAAAAAAAATTTACTTTATAAATTTCGACGTTTTTTCATGCAAAATTTCATTTTGCGTCAAAAATAATTTCAAATATCTCAGTCAATTTTGCAAATATCTTCTTCCAACAAATAGGCTCGTATTTGTCATACAAAAACACAAGTTTCTAAAAAAAAACAAAACAAAAAAAATGCCTTTATTTATTCTAAAGCGAAGATGTAAGAAATTCACTTTTTTTGCAATAACGGGCTAACATTTAAGTTTTTTATTACACAAAAATTTGTTTATCTTTTTTATGTATATCTGTATCACACTACCAAAGCACTGTATTCATTTCAGTGCCGGGATACAGACTTAAGTGATTGTATTGCCTCATAATCTGTAAATACATCTAAAGACAATAACTTTACTGTAAAAATGAACTAGTACTAAGTAAAATTGTGTTCATCAATGAATTTCTATCACAATATTTGCATTTTAACAGCTTAACACGTTAGAGAATGGTACGACCATGGGTAATATTTTTCTTACAAATTTTTAATTATTAACACTGCTAAATACCAACATAAGACGTGTCAATTTTCAGGTTAAGCAGGTGCAGCAGACGTC